ACAAATGCAAACAAGCAAGAGAATTTATGAACTGAATGAAGCAATTATCTCTACCGAGAACAGTGGCATTAGGGAACCAATGATTTCACATATTTGATTTTATGTACCTTCTACTGCATTGCTTAGGGAAAAGTAATCTTGTTTTACACTGAAGACAATGAGGCAATTTTTTCCTAATATCCTACATAAAACCATAAAATTTGTGATTATGGTATTTGTGGATCCTTAAGCAATCAATTTAGCTTATGCAATCTGAGCATAAATATGACTAATAAGAGGTAGAACTTCTGGTTTAAACACTAATTACTCAATAACATATTGTAGAGATCTGATTTTATTGGATGCATTAGATGTACTTTGCAGGACTTTACAAGTACTAGTATTTGACAGTTCCCTTAAAGAGGAAACATATCAATTTTTAAATTCACCCACTTCCTTCACTCACTGGCAAAATTTCTATCACAATATCTTTATATAAAAAAGATCATAGAGAAGTTAAAATCTGTTATGGGATAATGAATGTATAATTTCTTGATACAAAAAAAGACGTGGATTAATTTATTAAATATCCAGATCTGAAAGAGCAAAATCACATACGATTTCCACTCTTTGTTTCTGGAGTGAAGCTTACATTTAGAGAGGTGCCAGCCCATTCATACTGAATAACAACACCTTAATTAAAAACCAATGTTGTTGTACCAAAGAAAAAAGTGAGAAAATTGTTTGTATGGTAAAGGAACTCTTTGGAACATCTGTTTTTCTGAAGAAAAGCAAACAAGGTCTCAGGTGAAGAATCAAGTGTGGAGGGGATGTATGTAGCTGAAAGTTGTCTGAATCCACACAGAAGGTCTAGTTACATGTGCAGGTAGCCCAACCCTGTTAGGACACAGCCTAGTTTTCATAGGCACTGAAAACATGACTGATGCTTTCCATGGGTAGCCAGGAAGTCTACCCAGTCCTTTCTAGTACTATATGATGTGTTTTCCTGTGTTGGGTTATTCCTATTAAACAAAATCCACCTATTGTTTGCTGCTCTTCAAGAGCAAAACAATGTTGTGAACATTTGATTTGCTCTGAGGTTTTATGGAGAAACTATAGGCTAATCATCATGTCATATAAATTACCACAGTGCCTTTGACTGAGTGTGCGATCTACAGAGGTTGTCAGAAGCAGGATGATTTTTCCTAACACTTGACCTTGGGTTTAAAAAACATAAATCAGATTTATATATTGGTAATATGATTGTTCTGTTAAAGGTTTGACATTTATATTTTGTACAATGAGAAAATATCAATAAGAAAAGAGTTTAAAATAGTTATTTGTCATTGAATTTAGGCAGGTCGATAAAAAAGAAGAGACTAGAAGGTTCTCACATGATTTCTAGAACTGTATTCTTTTACTGTAATTAAGCAATTTGTTTAATGTCTGGATATGTGCACACAGGCATGTGTACATGTTGTGAAAATGTGCATTTTCCAAGGAATTTCATTTTTCTTAGTTCGATTCATCGTTTAACTCTTTTCCCGAATGCACTAGTTTTACCATTTCTCAGAGGGGCATTTCACTTAATTTCCTCTTGGATTAGCTGCTGCTCTGAGTTTGAAATTAAAGTTTAAAGGAACCATTTGATTTTAATAACTTTTATGTGTAGTGCTCCATTGAGTTTGGATTTTAGCACATAGCACTACTTTTCCATAAGGTGATTTTTAGTAAATCCCTGTGTGTAAAAGAAAGATAAACACACATCAGTGAGTTTCTTACTGCAATTAAATTATTGGATTTTTACATTAGAATATATTTTGAACACAGAAAAGCATGAAGAAACTGTTTTCTCATGTCGATCATAGACACTTCTCTTACACTTCAAAACTTGGAATAAGCCTGTGTGTTTACTTTGATCTCAGAGAATGAGAGACTATTAAAATACCATGGTCTCATATATATATATATCACACAGTCAGTTCAGGAAAGCAGTGCTTCATCAAAGACGCTCAAACCAAATTCTTAAACAGCAGCTGACTTTAGATTTTGCACTCTTAGATAAATATCTATCTGATTACCTTCTTGAATTTCCACACACTGCTCAACCTTCCTGTCCTTACTAGCTTTGTCCCTCTCCATGCCACTTATTTCAACTAGCTGTAAGGCTCAAGGTTGCTTTAAAGCAGAGTCTAGTCAATGTTAAGCACAGATTCCAAGCCCATTCCAGGATTTGCAAGAACTTTCTTTATTCATACAGCTTTTTTTTTTGTTCTTGTTTTTTTTTTTGTTTTTTTTGTTTTTGCTACTTCCAAGTAGGAATTAAATACAGGCATCAGTAAATCTTGGTAGACCAGGAGATGGCTGTGCACCTTTTGAAATATCATTCTATTAGAAAGGCTTTGGTCTCCATCAAAGCTGAGGAAATGTTTCCCTCTTATTCACAAGATAAAAACAAGAAACAATGTTTCTCCTTTATTCCAAAGGAAAGATAATCTTGTATTTTTAGGAGACCATTTTTGTTGTTTTTTTGTGGGGTGTTTTGGTTTTGTAGGGTTTTTTTTTGTTCTTTGTTGTGTCAGTGGTCTATTGTGAGGAAAAGAGAGACCACCCTTGTTTTTGGTCATTTCCCTTCCTCATTCAGAGAAGCTGCACCCTGTGACTTGGGTGTCACAGTGGGTCTTCATAGGTCCTGTGTGGACACTTAGGGAGGCTCTTGACTAAGTTTTTGATTTAGAAATTTTGGAAAGAAACATCAAGTCTTATCTTTTTGAAATTCCATTTTTTTTTATCAGAAGACAATCTCTCGGACAGAAAAAAATCACTTTTACCAGTGCATGAAGTGTCATATATAACACATCCAACACTTGCAAAATCTAAAATTTCAACCAGTGCACCATCTTTTGTTCTCTTAAAGGTCTAGGAGAAATTGAAATAAAAATTAGTTCTGTTGGCCATAGATGTACAGTATTTTAAGACACAATGGGACATTATATGAACCAGTGCAGACATGTTATTGACATACCAACATCCTTACCTGCAGGCTTGCAGGATGGGTCTGCAGTCGCACTCTGTCTTTCTCATCGATTTCAAGGGGAGATTTTAGCAGTGCCAGCACCAGTTTAGCAGTATCAGTAAGTTAAACTAAAATGTATGCTTGGAGCTTGGTTTTGCGTTACTGCAAAATTGTGCAGTTCAGGAACAAAACATAAAATCATACAATTTCTTTCAAGATAAAGAGAATACAATGAGGAAGAGAAAGATGCTGATACTATGAAGAGAGTTAAATTGTAACTGGTTGACATTCAGCTGTAACAACATATTTTTCAAAAGTCATTACTCACAGTGGGATGTGCTGCAGTTTTCTGTACCAGCCTTTCCTATTACTTATAAACTCAGTTTCTGGATTCATACCTCCTTACTGAAATTGATCTCAGCATTATTAAATTTCAGCCATTTTAGATGATGGATGCAGAAAATCTGAAAATTACAGTGACACATTAAAGTTTCCCTTCTTATCTAATGGGGGATAAGGTTTTACTTCCCGCTGTAGTTCTGGTCTCTGAAGATAATGCTTTAAAACTAAGAATTCAAAAAGCCCTGTTGATGCTCATGATAATGAAATAACTAGTCACTCTGATATTTAGGACACTGTTCCCTGAAGAAGAATAATGAATGCATTGAGAATAAATAAACATTCTAAAGTCTTTTCTATGTATCAGAGAATTGGCGCAAGTTTAAAATGCAGCATTATTTAAGATGTGATTTTACTGTGAAAAAACACATTGAATAATTCTTGTTTAGGTGAAGATGATTTTCTTTGCTAAAAGGTAAAGTTTTTCTCCATGAAAACATCACTACTTCTATCAATGTCTTATATTTTTGGTAGTTGGAAATCTTGTCTGCACTCTAATCTTGGTGCTCAGAGGAATCTGGTAGTAGTCTAGGAAGCACAGTTTCCAAAGAGAATATTTGTCACATAACGAGGAATGGGACTATTTTCTCTCTCATTCTGTTTCAAATTTTCCTCGGTTCTGTTCATCATCTATCTAAAATTCAAAGAACTTCCTTGTGTTTAAAAAATGAATACAGAAATTTCTAAAAGACTATTAAAATTGTCTTTGTATTCCCCAAATAATGTAGTCAAATGAAAATGAGCTTTCACTATAATTATCTTTACACAAATAATATAATATAATAATCTTTACACCATTAGCCCCCTCAAGAGAAAATATGACACTAAGAGACATAGTGGTGTAAAATATTTTAAAATAAAGAGCAGACTCAGAAATTTGCTTTTATCTGTATTGGTTCTTACCTCCCAGGTGTTCTTCCAGCATAGTGTAAATAATCTCAGATATTTATGATTATTTGTCTATAGATTATGTTTTTCTATTCCCCTCTTTATCCATAAAAGTGGAGTAAATTTATAGAACTTTTAAAACACCTCTCTGGTAAATTCTGCTAATACTTCTGAAAAAAATTCACCTCTAATATACAGTGAATAAGCACTTTAAGAGTACATTGATATTAACTTTAAGGAAATAAGCATTTAGAAAAAAAGCACAGGAAATTTGTCTACTCCGGTTACTAATGTGATTCAGTATTAGCAGGATAAATATATTATAACAAACAAGCCTCAAAATGAAGGGAAAAGAAAATCTGAAAAACCCCAAATAATAATATAATAATTGGGTTATAATAATAACCCAAATCAATATTTTGAATTTTTGATTAAAAAAATATCTAGTCCAGGTCTTATCTCTCAACACTAAATAAAAGGTAAATAAAATGTATTCCATTTTTCTTATTTGCAGGACCCTTTGCTATGTAATTATCTTTCTTTAAAATTTATCTTATGCAGGAGCAAGCCAATTCAAAAGCTAGAATTGGAGGCTGGATTTAGTGAAACTCTGCTTTTAGCTTAGCTCATCCTCTCCTCAGGACCCTGGGCTACACTTGAACTTCTTTGATTCCCAAATATAACAAAGAAGACAAATTTGAAAATTGCTTTTATTTTTCACATGCTTTCCATGTTTTAACAGATATGATACTTGTGGGGTTTTTTAACACCATTGCTGTTCAGTACGAAGCTGTCCTCAAGAATAGTAGGGTCATTTGAGGTCATTGTTTGATAATATGCACTGGATCCTTTTGTCTTTCATTGGCACCCATGAGATCCCAAAATGCCAAACAGCAGAGGATATTTTTGCGGTAGTGTCTGACTTCTTGACTCACTCCTCAGATAATATTGCAGCTTTGTGTTTGCTTTCATGTATTTTCTGTCATGTATTTGACTTCCTGATAGGCTGTTAGAATTACTTTGCCCTTTTAGATGTGATCCTTTGACTTACTCTTGTTTCAAACAACTTTTTTATTGATAGATTAAAAAAATTAAACACAAATGCATTTAAAATCATGTGAAGTACTCCAAATTGCTATTTGCACAAATGAAACATTTCATTTTCTTAAAATGTGTATGTGAAATGGATCCATATTTTCATGCTACGTGGCTTCATTTTGCCATTAGAAATCAAGTTTCAAAATCCATTTGTAAAACCAGAGATTTAAACTACCTTATGTTATTTACATCAAAGATTCAGGAAAAGACAAGGAGGCGAATCCCACAGTGGATGACAGGAAACCCACTAAGTCAATCACATGTCCATTTTCTTCTAAGTTCATGCAGAAATTGGATCAAAAGAACACTTCACTATCCTTTGGGCAAAGGCTTGGCACTTAGCTGCAGCCCTGCTCAGGGTCCCTGTAGGATCTGCTTCTCTGCTGGAACCGCTGAACCTGGAAAGAATCCAGGCAGTGACACTTTGAAGGAAGCATATTTGCTCAGCCTGTGATCACATCATAAACAGAATAGGCTGTGAATGCCAGCATACCAGAATGTTGTTGGAGAGAAACATATGGGTGGAAATACTAATTCACTAATGTCAAAATTTACTGCTCTGACATTTTTAGAATAAAATAATTCTCTTTTTCATGGCTGATCATTCCATTTATATTGTGATTCTAGACATAGATACTTCCTCCATCTCCCCCTGTACAATTTAATAACTTCTTTATCAAAAATTCATTGGAAGAAACCAATAAAATAAAATAATCAATCAATAAAAAAATAAATAATTAAAATCAAAATTTAAAAATAGTTTTTAAGTTTATATTCAAAAGACATCCATAATGTTTTCCTTTTTATTGTTTTGAAATTAGATCACAACCTAAGATTTTATAGAGTGCAATTAAATACTTAAAACTGCAAAACCTTAAACTAAAAATAATATGAAAAAGGAGTAAAACATTTATTAGAATTTTAGAACTACTCAGAAGTAGCTTTTTTTCACTGGAGTAGCTACTAGGTAGTCTCCAAAAATTAAATGAATCTCCAAAAATAAATTTTCTAATATTTTGGTTTTAAGAACAGAACAGATTATCTTTAACTGACAGCTCAGTTCCTCTATTTTTCTGAATGACTGAAGATTTGACACTGCTTAATTCTTTTTTTTTTCTTTCATTTTTTAGCCATTCTTCACAAATATGCTTAAGAAACACTCACAACCATGCAATAGTCTCTTTTCATTTCAGCACCTGGTTTAAAATTCTTACTCTTGGGACAATGTATTGACCATTAGGAAACAATTTATCCATCTCTGGAGCAGTCTACTCAACACATAAACATTTAAAATTATTAAAAACTAAATTTGAAATTTTGTCCTTAATTGTTTATCATCCCAATCTACTTGCCTTAAAATAATTGATACCTCCTAAATCTGAGAATTCACTTGATGCATTTGGATATTCAGTGCCATGATACTCAATTAAGATGAAGTGATATTTATATATATAACAGAATAATGGTCATATGCTTTCAATAATACTTGTTTTTTCTGCAGCTCTTTGGAAAACTGTCAGTAACTTGCCAACTTTGTTTTTATTTTATGGTATAATGTTTAACTAATGTGAATTGAAATTAAGTTTGATGTAGTCCAACAGCCTGTGCCCCTAGAATTTGTCTTCCAGCTCCATTGGTAGGCCACAGCTCTCCACATACCAACAATTCTGCTCTCTGGTGAAAAGCACACAAAAGCTGCCCTGCCTGCAAACAGGACCTAAAATTCTGGAACAACTTAGCTTTTATTGTAAAGCATTTTGTGAGTGATTTCTTTTCTGAAAGAAGACTTGAAGAGATTTGAGTTGGTTCTTAATGTAATTTCCTGCTATGAATTCAACTGACTTTACTAAAATAGGAAAGCAGTTTGTGGTATTATAGAGAAAACCCCAAAACTAAGACCAAATACCCATTCAGAAAAACTTCTTTGTCATCTACAGGATAAAGTTGCTGAAATTATTTTGAGTAATTTCTGAAGCAATCACCATGAATTAAATACACCCCTAGAGGGAGTGTGCTGGTGATATAACTCACCAAAGTTTATCAAACTTTATTGGAATTCAGTCAAAGCTTCACTATTTGACACTTGTGAATAAAGAATAAATAGGTTTTCTTGGGATTGAAACCAGTGAAATTTAGTGGTTATTTTACTAACCTACTTAGTTTTGACTTAACAATTTAAGGCAAAATTGTAATCATTGAACACTAAAATGAAGTTTTTTGGGATGCTCATTTTGATTTGTGTCCTTAATTTCTTGGATGAACTGCAAAAATTCTAGCTTCAAAATACCTTACAGAGAAAGATGGGAAGGCATAGATGGAAAGAAGCTATCTTAGTTTCTCCTAGTTTTAATTTAAGTAAAGAATTAAATTAAAAAACATTATTTATTCTCAAAAATTCCAAGAATCTATGCAAATCTAAATGCATAATCAGAAATAAAAGAGAGGTGGAATACATTTTTCTGAATTCCTCCCTGAAACCTCTATTCCTCAACTAGTAATTAAGCCTGCATAAACTAAAAAAATTCAAATCTTTTTTTATTATAATTTTTTTCAAATTTTTGTTTTTCCTCCCCAGATTTTGTACAATATTACAAGATATCAGCACTAAAAGTCAGTTTGATAAATGTTATCCCCATGAATTCTGAGATGCAATCGCATTTTCGTCTAATAAAAACATTAATTTATGTTGCTAAGTTACTGTGATGCAGCTACTGTGGTTAAATGCTAATTTCTTAATGGACACCACCATCTCTGCATGTATATGTGTGTTATATAAAGGTAAAACATCTAATTCTAAGTTTTAATTGATAGATAAACCAGCGAACATTCTAAATTATCTATTTACCATTAGTATGACCAATAATTTTTCATTCCACTTAGGATATAAAACACATATGTAAGATATTTATGACATTTAATATAATTTATAAATTCTGTAGAATGGGAAAAAATAAAGAACCCCAAAAAAAAGACAAGCCTGCAGTAGTGATAAATCTCAAGTTGTATGTAACCTTTCCCAGATGTACTTGAGCAAAAAAGGCATTCAGAAAACTAATATATATCAACCTGCAGACTGCCACTGTATAGAATGTATTTTCAGAGAAACCATCAGATTTTTCTTGTCTATTAACTCATTTTCAGTTTCAGCTTTCACCCCTGAGATTTTTTCATCTGTGCTGTAAAATAGTGAGTGCAGGAGCTTAACATGGAAATATTAACAGATATTAGCTGCAGTGTTGCTGGTGGGTGATGCTCTATTATAGGTTTAAAAACCCATCTGAGACAAGCAAAGTTGTGATATCAGCCACTCACAGTACAGTGTAACTGCATAAAATGAAACAAAAAACCTTTGAAGGCAGAATAAAAACGCACAATACTGAATACTAAATAGTCCTCATGGGATACAGAAGAAATGCAGGTTTTTGCATTGATAGCAAACAGCAGGAGACTGCCAAGACTTGGGTGCCTGCAGGCCAGAAAAGCTTAGTTATAACTTTATCCAGATTAACTCCCCGAGATTTGTGTAAGTGACATCCATAAAATGTATTGGAAAAATTGTTGGAAAACAATGAAGATCATCGTTTTATGAAGTGAGGAAAAGCTGAACATTATTTTTTCAGTAACAATTTTTTTTTTTTTTTTATAATTTAAGGATTATCTATCCACTGCCTTGCTTGCTTTTGTTTTGTTCTTTATTTTGCTAAAATATGTGCACATGCATTGCACCCTGCTGGAGGGTTTGTGCTGCCTGGAGACTAGACTGGAACCAAATCTACCTTGACTGGGAATGGTAGGAAATCTTGCTTTCAGCTGCAGTCTAGTAATAGACATTATTTGGCTCTAAAATTTGTGAAGTATGTGTAGATAATGGAAATGCTTTACAAGTTATAGAGTTCTATATTCTTCCAATATGCCTTCTTCATATTCTTTTAACTTTGAACATAATAATTCTATTGAAACCTCTGGTAAATGTTTCACAGAATTCACATATAATGACACTTCATATTATTCAGCTAGACCAAGATGTGTTTTTCAGATAATATAAATTCCAACACACATCAGAACTCTAAATAAATATTGCTTCAATCCAAAAGAATTATTTTGATTGCTTCCAACTAAAAATTTAGATTTATCAGATAATAAAAAAGCAGATACTTGTTTGCTGAAGTGCTGCAATACAATATTCTTAATGCAGTCCATTGGTTATGCTATTAGTTTTCTTATTTGTTTGCACAGTGAAGTCAGTCAGGTGTAGTTCTAGCAAAATATAAAGTTTACAAGAAGAAAGAATAATACTCTAAAGTTTTCATAATAATTTGAGATTCTACCAATTTTTCTAATCCTAATTTTCATTTCACATTAATAATTTTGATAGAAAAATCTGCACAGAAAATTTTATTAAGTACTTGTGCATTCTTCTAGAAACTAAGCTTTTGCTCTTAAATTTTTCAGAGCTTATCATGATAGTTCAGAATTATCAATGTCTAATCTGTAAATGCAGGAGAAATACTTGAAAAAAAACCTTCTGTAGAAAAATATATATGGTCAGTATAGGAAATCAGGCAATCTCTTCTGTGGATGGGGCCTTTATAATAACAAATCTTTGAGGAATTATTTATAGTAAAGAAACAAATATGAGAAATTATCACTGAATTGCCTATGTAAAAGTTTGCATTTCTTCTAATATTCATATGTATTTAATTCTAATTTTGTTCTGAACTACAAGGCAATTGATATCAATTTTAACTTAATGATCGCTAAAATTTCTTTTTTTCAAATAAATAAAAGTTTGTGGCAGATGTAAAATTTTATGGACTAAATAACAAGCAAATAAGCCGTTTTCAAGTCATTTTCAAGATAAGTAGATGCAGGAGAAAATTACCTGGCGTTTAATTCCATCATCCTAATCTGATAAATGAAGAGAAATATGGTTGAATTACTGTTTTAATGATGCCTCTGATATTATTACCTTTTATTGTCCACATCCTTATTGAGACAGTTTCCAAGGCCTGTTGACAGGAGCAACATCAATTATGTTCTTCCAAACTACATAACCATGAACCATATACAATATTAATGTATAAGAAACTTTCCTGTTGGCTCACAGTTATGGACAAGATTTCCTTCATAGACATTATGATGTCATTAATCCCTTCTGAATTTAGATTAACATCGGAACAGAACAAACACCACAACAAATAAACAAAATTTCATCCAATTATTATAATTTTTCTATTAAATTATCCAAACGCCACATTACTTTTTTCATGGTGTCACCTCCTCTTTATTTAAAAGGCTACTTCATGATCTTTTCTTCAGTCTTGACTTTAAGAATTCAATTTACAATGCTGCCTACAATGTATTTTTAATAGGTAAACCATCAGGTATTTCATGGACTACCTCTTCAGTATTCCCCTGTATTGATTTTTGTGCCTTATCTCATCTCATCTCATAGATTTCTTTAGAAAGCTGTACAATGATTTTTTTCCTGTACTGGTGAGTATCTGGCATGTTACTACTTCCCACCCATAGTATGCTAAGATACTGTGCTATAAAAACTTCAATAACAGGACAAAGAACGAATTCACAGGTTAAGCCTATCAAACAACAGTGCTAGGCTGAATATGATCCAGAAAGTGTTAAAATGATAAAAATTTGTCTAGCCCAGGTTTTTTAAATATTTTTTTTCCTCATATCCTTCCCAGTCAGTATGCTTTAATGCTGTCTCATACTCTTGGCTGTAGGATGAATTAGACACAAATGGAAGAGTAAATGTTCACACATTCACCTTCTGTAAACAATTTTAATAGCCAAGGAAGAAATCAGTAAAGTTTTCATTTAATTTATGAGTGATTTTTTTTTTTAAATAGGAGATATAAAACTAAATGTTGGAGATGAGTGAGGCTCACCAACAAATTTAATCAATATTATTTGGCCAGTGTAGTAAACAGTGGAAGTCAAATTCATTCAGTTTCAGAGCTGAAAATCAACCAGAACCCACTTTTTTTGTGGTATTCAGCAGTTTGCACGGCTGATTACGTCTTAATTTTAAGCATGGGATTTATTTAGATGTGTTATTAATGAATTTTCCTTATTTGATAAGAGATATACAGACTGCCTTGATCATCTGCTAAAGGGATGGACATAAGAGCAGTGATGTGGAACCTCAGAATCCTATTTCTCCTTAGCTGCAGGTCTGAAGAACCAGTGTTCTAGATTCCATGTTTTAGAATCTAATTGCCTCACTGCAGCCTTTGGGCCAGCAGGGTAAACATTTTGGTGCAATGCAAATATGAAAGTACTTATCAGTCTGTGAGATCCAGACTATGCCACAGCTTGAAGACTTTCAATTTCACAAAAACATAAGTATATCAGATATAGGAAAGTGAAAGAAGAACATTTTGCTCAATTCTGACACTGAAATATCTCTAAACTATCATATTGAATGTAATGTTAATTAAGCAACACACATTGAGGCACTGTTGGGAGATTAATGAATGCCTGGGAGTGGTGTACAGCTCAAAACTATATTGTGGTTATAAAACCTAGTCAATAATTAAGTCCCAGTAAATGCCCTAGTCTGAGACTAATATTATTTTAGGGAAATTAATTGAGAATTGAAGAAAAGTCTTAAACATGTGTGATGTCAACAAAATCTTTACAGAAGCAGTTGCAGTTCTTTCATCCACAGACTTTTTGTAAGCCTTAATATCCTTCCGTCATTCAATAAGGCTCTGATATCTTGTGTAATCATCCTTAGTAATATATATATATATATATATATATATATATATATATATATATGTTATAGAAATACACAAACAGGTAACATATGGTACCTCTCCCAGACACCAAGCCTCTCAGGTTTAAAAAGCAGTATTTCCCTCCAGGTTAAATACCTTAACACTCATTCTGCAAACTGCTGAAAACCTGCCTCCATTGTACACTATTTTACTCAACTGCTAAGAGCTAAGGGATAAGGTTCTACAAGACAACCTCCTGTTTTTGTTTTACACTTCCAGACTCAATTTTTATCAACTTGTGCATGACCATTTTTTGGAGTTTGTTCAGACAAATGACAGAGCATCAAGCTTTGTAGCTCTAATTCACACAAGGTAACAACAGATTTCCACAAAGCCTAATTAGGAATCTGTAAACAATAATCCTATTTAAAGAAGAAAGCATTAGCCCACGGGAACCAAAACATGAAAAAAACCTCCCTCAATTGTTTGCATTGTGCTTCAATAAATTAACATGAAGGCAGCTTTTTTGTGAGTACTGAAAAGTAAAATTAAAAAAAATAAAAATAATATATATATATACACATACTGTGTTAAGAGATTTTCTCTGGACGTTGTTTTCCATGAAATTTATGGTCATGAACAGGCTTGAAAAATGGTAATTTAGAGCAAAGAGAGGAGGCATGAGGACAACCAATACAAATTAAAATCTAAGGAAAAGACTCAGAAATTACTTTACCAGAGGAGTTTTCAAAAGTCTTGATCAGAGAGATTGAAAGAAATGTAAGGAAAGAAAATTCTGTGGCATGTTAAGTTCTAATGAATATTCTTTTTTTTCATACACAGTAAATCTGTCTCCAGCTCAGGCACCTGTATAATCAAGACACTGTTAAGTTTCTTTGAACTCTTCTAATTCAGGTTTCATGCATCACATTTGTTTAAAATGTTTAATAACTTATTCACTAATTGCTTGTTTAAACCTATTCTGGCTGCCAAGCATTCTGTTATAACTGATAAAATATAGATCACTCTGAATATTTATGTGTGATTTTTGTGCAAGTGACATTTATGATTAACACAAACTTAATTTGGTAGTGGAATCAAATAAAAAATGTCTCTGTGTATTCTACTGGAATGATTAGCAGAGGCCATTAATCAAGAAGTCCCTTTTGTTCTTAATTTCATGCCACATGAATGAGTAAAGATACAAAGGAACTGAGTATTTCATCAAGCTCTGGCTTTCTTTATGTGAAATATTCAATTCTCTCACAAGAAACTTCCATATCTTTAATGTTTTTAATCACTGCTCTTTTGTGTGTGGCCCTCTTTGTGAAGTGAGACCTGCATATCACTCAGGCAAAAATATTTCTGGAGCATAGCATAGTCATGAATTTGATTCCAAATGGCTTTTCATATCAGTGATACAGTTATATCCGAAAACTGAGCAAGGCCAAAGCTGGCTCAAAAAACTTCTTTTATTAAGTCTGCAAAGGTCACAAATTAAATGAAGAAGGAATTTTATTTGGGAGTTGTCAGGAAGCTTCCTTATTCCTCCTTAATTTGTTCCCTACTTACTCCATGTTGGGTGTCAAAATATTGATATACTACAGCTAAGGATGATCCAATGACATACAAAGATAAAATCACAGTCTGAATATTCTCCTAATAAGCAATATCTCAAGAATTTAAAAAAGAAAAAAATATAACTTCTTTTTACAGTGTATAAAAATGCATTATATCTGAGATGAGTGAAATTTAAAAAGGCTTTTAATTGCAGGCCACTATCACTAACAAAAAGAGATAGATGCTGAATGGATGGCTAAAGACATTTTTCTCATTGCTGATTTGAGTGAGTGTGAATAACAAAAATTATGTGTGATTTGGGTTATATCAATGTAGGAAAATATACCATGACTAACAGGTACACAACAGGTTTAATATGCCCAACAAAGAGTTATAGAAGTGAAGAGAAACCACTTTTTCTTCAGGATGGCAGTAGCCCACTCCAAAAGTCATACATTGTTGTCATGTCTTAAATGAGGCTCATCAGAGCACATAAAAAAACCCAGGAATATTTTTATAACTTTATGTATAACTCCCAGGTTCTATTCTCCCAGGTATTTATAATTCTGTGTGGAAACTGCTGATTTAAGTGTTTGGCTCTCATGATTTCAGAACTTACAAAAGCAAATGGCTCAGATTTATTTAAGCTGTTCCAAAATGAACTGCAAAGCTAGAAATCTGTACATTTACTAGCTTGCAAATAAACAGTTGTCAAAAACTGTGTGGATTTTATGTTTGCAAATTTATACAGTCCCAATTAGAAAATAACAAAACATCTGCAGTTGTCAGAAAGAGCGAATACAAGGCAAACAAACAAATTCAAATTCACATTTGAAGAGTGCCTTGAAAGTTTTTATGGATACATAAATATACCACTACGAATAATTACATTGTTAAAACAATATCTACCACTTAAGACTGTAATTCTTATTTTTCATGTCCCTCAGAGTGAAAGGGGTATGTCTTTGCCTTAAAAAATACAAAAAATTACAAAAAATACTGAAGACTACACAGAAAATCAGTCATAGATTTTTTTTTATTGCCGATGGTGCTTGATTGAAGGCATACAATATGGTAAAATTCAGTAAACTAAGTAGTGTAAAACTGTCTGCAGACTATTTTACAGAGCTGAGAGTTAACCTGAGGCACATGTAACCCAGATAACTTGAGTAACCCACTGCCACCATGAACAAAGCAGTGGTGGACAAGGCAAAAGACAATTTTCCTCTTTGGCTACTTTAAACAAAAATGCATATTCTTTCCCTGATATCATAGAATCAAAATCAACTCCTAAAATATGTCTTGAATTCTTTAAACTGGAAATTGTACACATTAAATTACGTTCAGGTAAGTAGTTATGATCTGGTTGAGAATGCAGAAACATATAAAATTTTTTACCTTTAATGTCTCTTGATCTGATTTTATAGACGTGGTTCATGTAGCAGTTTCAGAAATGGTCTGATTTGAGATCCTACAGTTTCTGCAGAGTCCATAAAGAAATCAGTGCATGTTTTGTACCTTAGAAATACAAAAAGACAGTGTTAATATTTGCTAATCAGTTGACTCTTAATGAACTTATCTATTTCTTGCCATATATCTTCTAGGAGGCCTTTTTGTTTTAAGAATTTTTTTTTCTTGGTTTTTTTTTGTCTGTTTATATGTCTAGCATTTTTTTGAAGGACTAATGAAAAATTTGACTGTTAATTATTGTTCTTCACATGTGAGGTAACATAGGCTTTTAGTAAAATCTCATAACTCCTAAGACTGATGTCTATTTTTTTTTGCCAATATCTTAATCTCCCTAGTAGCTTTGAGAAGGGAAAAAAGGAATCATAAAACATATTCTTCTTCACAGCAGTAGTGTGTGATTCTCAGCTGTGGCTTCTCTGCTTGTTTCCCAAGGCAATAGGCACCCAAAGTATTTTCCACTAAAAGAAGTGTACTGCCCATTACTTAAATTACAGTGCTTTTACCCAGTTTGAACATGAGAACCTTGTACAAGATTTTCTGTAGAGAAAAATAGAGTTTTGGTACAGATGTCAATGCTTCCCTGACTTCAGTTTTACCCATCTGAAAAAGCAAATGTCAAAAGACCAGGATAAGAAAATTGCAGAGATTCTTAACCAAGGTCATTTTCTTAGTGGGTGTAAAATAGTAAGTCACCTTGAATAGGAGTGTATTGAGCATTAGAGCCACATAAACTTAACTTCCAGGAACTCTTCTAAGTTTGGTGTTCTCGTTGAAAATTCTTTATGTGATACAAGCTTCTTGACTTGACATCATCCCTGATAATTACAAGCAACACCAAAAAAAAAAAATAAAAAAATACAAAAACCTGACATTCTGCTGAGACTGAAAGCAAATACCCGTGACTGAACTTAAATAAATCACCATAAATATATGCCAGTTCTGCCTGTAAAAAGTCACTGAACGTCTCTAGTCAGTCCTCTGTGATGTATTTTTACAGATTAGCTTGCTCCAGGTGAAAGTAATCTCCAATTATGAGCATGAAGCCTTTTGCTGTGGTTGTTGAAAGACTAAAATGCAACTTTAAATCAGAAACACATGCAGGTAAGAATTCCACACTCAGGTTCCATGAGGAAAAAAAGTGTAGATGAGCTGAGGAATGAAGTATAACCCCAAGTCTGGGAGTGAGCTGCAAACCCAGATGTCCATATGGGGCCTCTATTAAAGGTTCTCATTTGCTTTTTTTTGTAAGCTTTACAGAGATAGAGTGGAGATACGCTTTTCTCTGCCTCTCCTCAGCAAGCTCAGCTCTGTAATGATGCTACTCACTACAGTTTTACAGTAAAGGAGCTTTGACATTTTGCTTTGATGCAGTAAATATGTAACAACCACAAGTGAGTAAAATCAGTTATCTTGCTTTCTTAGTAACAGCCCCAGATGACTGCCTGAGCACTTACACTGTTGAACCACTTACTGGCTTCAGTTTGCTAAGCTTTATGTTTCCCATACAGAATCTGTCCTTTTTATTATGTGCATGTGTACCCATATAACCCATATATTGGGTTATATGTGCATATAACCCAATAAGACCTTATGCTAGAATAAAGCCTCCAGATAGTACTGTACTACTAAAAAAGGTTGGTATTTAAAAAAAAATAAGAGCTGTTAATAACAAAAATCTCTCTTAAAGAGATAGCACTGAATGCTCCAGAATGCACATACTGTTGAGTTCCTTCTTGCTACACTAGTCTTTTGGGCTTTCAAATGCGATATTCCCCACACAGTAACAGTCCAGTCTCAGTTCCTTGAAGAATTTTAAGCTGACATGCAGTAACAGTATGAGGATTTCCTTCCCTAGGTCCCCTTTTTTCTTCATTAATACAAACACTTCCCTTGCTGATAGTGTCACTTTGTAAGCGTTCATTACCTATTGATCGGGCAGTGTAGAGTGCACGGATGGATTGGCAAACCCTCACAGAGGACTCTTCATTTCAATGAGCTCCTGACATACCATGCCACGGGATTTCTTAACAGAATATTGACAAGCTCTGGCAGATTCTCCATTTTATGGACTAAATATTGTACTTTGTGTTTGTTTTGTCTGATTTTCTGTGATTTTATTGTCACTCATTGTTCTTGAGTTTATTTATCATGTGAGTATTCATGACGTATCAATATAAATCAGATCAAAACCAGATTAAAATCAAATTAAAATTAGACAACAGGATGTCAGAAATAGAGTTTTTGTAGACATCTATATTTATGGATTATGTATGTGCCTAGATATGTATATATTTGTGATATGTATGCATGTACATGTGAATTTAGAGATCTGTGATTGGCATGCACTACCAGTGGGTCAGGCCCGAGATTTCTGTGATTGTGTGCTCATGTGCTTGGAGAGAGAAAGGTGCTACCTCTCATCCTGTCATTCTCTAAATAAGATATCTTACTCTTGAGCTTGTAATTGAGTCATGGATCATATCTTGGTATTATGGAAATGGTGAAGAAAGCACCTCATGGTGATGTGGAGAGATGTTTACAGAGTCCTCTGGGGAGGGCTACAGAGGCTGACATCCTCACAGTGCAAAAGAGAAAGGGAGCAAGGAAGAGCTACAAAAAAACATATCTGTCTATATTGTGTGTGTCAGTATGTCTGGACTAGGAAGACAACATAAACTTAAGCCACTAAAGACATATTTGGGGGCTGTCTCAGTAAAGGTGAAAAAATGTGAAGCAAACAAAGGATAAGAAAAAAAAAGAGGAAGGGAGAAAAAAATGTAACATGGCCAAGGAGGCTGCATGTATAACTTTGCTTAAAGATTGTGCTGTACTATCAAGAAGATAATTCTCATACTCATAAAAACAAGCTGGTTTAATAAATACATACAATCAAAATAAGAGGTAATTGCCTCTGGCACTCTAAAAATAATAAAACTGGTGGTGTTATTTTGAAAAAAATACATGTAAGAATGGCTGAAAATACATTTAAAGTTGTCCTGAAGGAGAAAATATAATAAGGTGGAAATCTTTTGACACTGAATAGGTTTTTGCCTTACCTAATGTGTAAACTATTACACAAGGTATGTTTGTAAGACAAATAATTTTTCTTTTGGCAGTAATTTGTCTCTTAACAATATCAATATTTTATTACCCATAAGCCATTACATTATTAAATTCAGTGGCCTGCAGTAAGTAGTACAGTTGGCTGGGTACCCAGCAGTAAGTTTTTATTACTACTCAAATATTCCAGTGATTTCAAGTTATATATTTAAAAAGAACAATTATTTTTATAAGTGTATAAAAATGAGCTAAAAAAACCAAAGCAAAATCTAAAATTGTCAGTCTTTAAAAAGCATTAAAAAAGATTGCAATAATTTTTAGAGGTATTTATTATATAATGCGTATAAAATGAAATGTCTGTATGTCCATTTAATGTAAATGATAGTTATTTTCATTTAATCCATAAAAACAATGTCATATAAACTATTACAGATGTAATGTTGAGGCTTCTTAATGTGCATGTCATTCTCTCTGTATGAACCTGTTTGAATACCTGCTGTCAGCAGTGGCAAACTTGTCATTCACTGTAATATCAAACACTATGAAGACAGTCTCTCTAACATTGCTCAAGTGTTTCCATACCTATATACATTCTAAAGCATAAGAGACCCTTCATTAAAAATCATATAATTTATGTTTACAGTTTCAGTATCAGTTGCTGCCAGAGATACAAAAACATCTATAATCTGGAGCTTATTTAATGAAATTTGTTTGAATCCCTCTGTTGAGATGAGGTCCCCACATCTCTTCTATAACAATATATCTGGAGTTCCAGCATTTCTCCTTGCTTGAGATTTTGAAAAATCATATAAATGTGAAAACTTCCAGGGGCCAAAAGTATTTATTTTCAGGATTGCTGCTTTGAGTTTTTTTGTGGGGAGAATGGTTCTGGGTTCTTAGGCTTAGAAGGCCTTTTAACTTGATTCAGGATGGATATTTTTACTTAGAAAATTTGGAGATTGAAGACTATATTGACAGTCTTCAGCTGACTGTATTGAGGTCATCCTTCATGAATTGCCCAGGTTTCCACATCATCTGCACATTAGCTGTCAAATCTGAACTGATGCGAGTCATCTGTCTCTCCAGGTCAGAAAACCCAGGCAAAGGACTCAGTGGTTCACACTGATTTCTGCCCCAAAGGACTGCAGGGATTCAGTCACCTGGAGTCACTCAGTCTGAGAGGTTCAGCTTGACCATAGGTGCAGTTCTCAGGCTGTAATCATATTTATCCACTTAGGATCAGTGAGGCTTAGAGCAAATAATGTGAGTAATTTTGTCTAGCATCTCCTCCCTTTTTTTTCTGTAAGGAAAAATGTTATTTATTATTGCTAATCCTTGCAGGCTATGGAGAGTTGGGAGTTAGGAATCTAAAATGTAATTTGTATTCACATTGAAGTTTACTGTCTGGAGACTGTGTACTAAATGTGTGAGTTCAAACAGCTGTAGCTGCACCAACATCTCATGGAAAGCTTATGGAGTGCAAGGAATATGAACATTTTCCAGACATTAAAAAAAAATATTTATTTCTTATATATACATAATGTGTTGTGTTCTGTATTTATATCATACTCTTGCCAAGTTTGCTTCTGCTCACTTAAGGAATTGCACTGATTATGCAGATATTGTTCATAAATTTTTGCCTTTTTATGTTTAATGACATCTTTTTGATCCAAACTATATAAAAAAATGAATATGATCAGAATGAAGAATATGTTACTGTTAAAATGCGAATATTTTATTAGAAATTCTGCATATTTGCCATCATTTGGTTTCTTTCTGGCAGAATACTTTTCTGATCAGCTCCGGAAAATGAAATTGGAAACATTTCATTAATTTTATAAAAAAGGAAAGGTTTGAGTGGCATCATAGTTCCTTTGTATTTTCCCCCTCTTCATTTGTGCAGCTATAATTACAGATTCTTTGTGGAATGTTCATGTCAATCATTATTAATCTCTAATTTCTAATCACAGGCATAAGTAGGTTTAAACTTCATTGAAAACCTTTTGAGAGTTCTGTGGGTTTTGAGAGAGAAATGACGTGTTGCTGATCTTCATAATGTTTTCTGGAGATCCTTGTCAGTAATTTTTCCAAAGGGAAAAAAGTTATCAGAAAGAGGAACAAGGACAAGAAAAAATGAAAAGGACCAAGGTTCTTTCTAGGCAAGAAGTTATGTTCCAGGATTTTTAACACTTCACAATTATGGCTAGATTTATTGATGGGTGTGACAGTTCCTGGTTGCTCTGCTTCAGTGAAAAGGAAGATAAATAAGGCAACAACACCTGGGAGACAAGTAGACAAGATTAGATGAGAATTAAGAAAATCATCTGAGATTCAGAAACCTATGAAAAAATCTGGCAGAGCTGATTGTGGAAGTTTGAGCAACAAGAAACAAATTGCTTGGAAATTAAATTAAAGAACGGTATTTTTAGGTTGTTGCTTTATATGAAATCAATCAGTGGCAGTGAGGCTAGCAAAAAGGAACCAACTAGAATTTAACTTGAAAAAAATGAGTGCCAATCATATGTTCCTTAATACAGTATGCTTTTCAATATTTTTGGGTTGCAGCCATTTCTGGCAGTTGTTCAGTAGCTATTCCTTATATGTACAAAAATATACTGTAGTCATAACTTAAGTTTTCCAATACTGCAATTTTTCTATCACCTTTTGTGTTCACTGTGGCAGTCTTACTTACCTGTATGTCAAATCTGACTTGTAGAACTGGGGTATAGAAGGGTGAAGTAAGTCAACTTTACTCATTCAGTGTGCTCATGATAAAAAAAAAAACTTGATTCTTCTTATTAAAATATGGGGACTGATTCCTAGTAATTTACAGTTCTGAACATTTCTGTATCTTTTATATGGGTTCTATAACATATTTCACAAATGACCTTTAAAACAAAC